CGGTCCTCTACTCTTTTATCTTTGTTCAAATCCTCTCCCCTCATTGTTAAAATGTTTTGCTCCTCCTCACTTGTCGCTCCTGCCAGTGAATTAAAAGCAATTCAGCAATTTAGTTCATTTCACTTGTTTGTTTGCATTCTTTTTTTATTTAAATCTGTAATGTTTGATTCTCAAAAGAGAACAAAGATGTAAGCAAATTGTGTTTTACACAATTGTATGTTATTATGACATCATAACTGCTATAGATGTATGTTGTTTTAAAAGTATGTCTATTGTCTATATTGTAAATGAAGACTAAGTTATAGATAAATAAATAGATAGACAGATAGATAGATGGGGTTATTAAGCCTACATTCTTTTGTGTGACTGTACCTGCAGTTCCTCCCTGACTTCCATCACTTTCTCTCCCTCTCTTTCTCTGCCTGTCGTGTCTCTTCCTTACCAATGCTGAGCTTCGACTGGCGTTGTCTTTTCATTATATCTGAGTCAGTGTAAAAAGAAAACAATACAATGTTAAATCTTCAATGTTTTACTCAAATTGAAATGAAAGAAAAGCATTACAACGTTTGTTAAAAGGTAATCCTTCTGACATTGGATGCATGTAATTAACTGTAGCTCTCGAGCTAGTTTATTCACGCAATTTAAACCAAAGTATAGCCTATCTGCAATATAAGTTAGTGTGCATGTTGTCGGACGTCCACTGACTAACGTAGCGCGTTCACACAGGATCTGCTGGTCCTATGATGTCCTGATGAACAGAAACACAAGCAGCCCGCTGGACTCAGATCTCTAGATACCACATCACTCCTCCGCTGCTCCNCTAGTGCAGAGGGAGATAATACAGAACTTCTCTGCATCTATGAAACGCCGGTGATAGAAAAAACGTTGAAGGTTATCACACAGAAAATGAATTCGTTCATGAAAAAGCGAAGTAAAGTGTGTGGTCTTAGGCAATGGTAGAGAGAGAGAGTAGAGCACCTGATTCCAGCAAAAGGAGACGAGTCAGACGTTAGTCAAGGAGACCGTTTGAATAGGGGTGCCATAATGTTTCCCTATGAGGGTAGGTCAGGCGGTATCACTCTCTGGTCAAGCAATTGCAAAATAGGATAGAGAATGTGAAGCGATCCACGACCCCAAAAATAAGAAAACGAAAGAATGGCACCGACGAGTCAGACACAGATGAAGTCCCTCCAGAACAGAGAGCAGCAATCCAGGACACTTATGGGTGCATTAAATGGGATTTAAAATTCCTGCCCCTTGGAGAGACCGAAGAGAGCCAGCAGGAGAAAAAGGAAAAACTGAGGGTGATGTCTAAGCAAACTGATGCAAATCCAGAGGAGGTCAAACTTCTAATGAAGTCAACGTTCTACACGCAGCGTAAACAAGTCAACCGGGGGAAAAATATAAAATCCCTCCTGCAAGAGTGGCCGTTTTGGTTCGACGACCTTGGCATAGCAGTCCACTTCAAGGAACTCACAGGAAGTGAGCTTCAAGAAACTTTCCCACAGAATTTGGATCTGAAGGGGAAACGACTCCTGAACTACATGAATACTGATGCTTTTTACAAGAGCAAAAGGCTGCTACAGGCTGTAACCAAGTTTAAAGTGAGGAGAGGAGAGCTAAGTGGTTGTTCTGAAGACGTCAAAGACATGGTGCTGCTTCTACTGTCCTACTTTGATGAGAAGGAAGACACATTGTTCTGTTATGTGGAGGACACATGCCTGGCAGGGGAAGTACAGATGGACCAAGTTCAGTTGACTCCCACCATTGTTGTGTGTGGTAAGTAGAATAAAGCTTTCACTCTACTTTTTTCTGTTCTTTCTACCACTTCTTTCTCTCTTTTCTGTCTAATTAGAGACATTTGTACGTGGGTATGGACCAGGCGTCAATTAAACGCCTGCAGCTATTGCACAAAAAGGCCACAAAAAGCATGACCACATCACCCCAATTCTGGCCTCATTGCACTGGCTTCCAATTCGGTTCAGAATTGATTTTAAACTCCTTTTATTTGTTTTTAAAGCACTAAATGGGCTCCGGCCTATATAGCTGAACTCCTCCAGCGCTACACCCCAACCAGAGCTTTAAGGTCGGCTGACCAGCTGCTGCTGGTAGTGCCCAAGACCAGGCTCAAAACCCGGGGTCACTGAGCCTTCGCAGCAGCTGGCCCTAGGCTCTGGAACACTCTGCCCCTCCATGTGAGGTCGGCCCAGACCCTAGGGGTTTTTAAATCTACGCTTAAAACACACTTCTTCTGCCTGGCCTTTTAGTCAGAGCGGAGCACGACTCCTGACTTTTCCCTGTGTTTTTTATATATCTGTTGTAATTTATTGTCTTTTATTATGAATGTAGTCATGTGTTTTTAAGTGATTGTAGTATTTATTACATGTACAGCACTTTGGCCCGACCAAAAATCGCTCTTAAATGTGCTTTATAAATACACTTTGATTTGATTTGATAAAACGTTTAAATACCAATTATTATTTTGTAATCACTGATCATACTCAAGCACTGATTATTTCTGCTACATTCTTAGTTAATTCCTTGATTGATTCATTGTCTTTTCATACCCATATTCCTTCCTTTTATTTCTCTCACAAATAGAGACTCCCAAGAGATGTTCTACGACACAGATTATATGATCTCCCCACCTCTCGGCAAAATGTTCCCTAGCCCTTCTGTTGACACTTGCTCTCAAAAGCTCTATCAGGATGATATTGAGTTCCATGCTGACAGCTCCGTTGCAAAGCCCTTGACTAAAGAGGCAGACGCTGTTGTTGAAAGTCCAGTTCGCAAAACTACTGTAGAAGAACTTGAAGCTTCCATAGATGTTTCCTGCAGAACGTCGGCAAAAGAAGAAAAGTTGAACAGTTCTTTAGAAACCCTTTCTTTGAAAATGTCCAAAGAAGAGTCTTTAATAGAGGGTACATCCAGGAAAAAATCCAGGGACAGGAGTGAAGTTCCCATGGATGTTTCAGTTAGAAAGGTGCTTTCCGATGAGTTGGATGCAGAATTCCCAGTCAGGAAAGTAGAGAGAGATACAATTAAGGATTTGATTGACATTGCTTCAAGGAATGTATACAGAGAAGTTAGTGATTTACCTCTGGATGTGAGAAAGATTATTTGGAATGAAATAGATGCAACAACAGAGAAGCCTAGACCTAGAAAGATATCAAGGGATATGATGGGGGCTTCAATGGACAGTGCATCAAGAAAGATGACACAGGATGATGTTGAGTTTGACTCATTGTCCAGAAGTATTACAAGAGATACAATAGGAATGTCCCTCGACACAGTTTCTAAAAAGCTTCCATGGAATAAAGAAGACTGCCAGCTCGATACCTCTATGAGGGCATTAGCAATGGAGAACATGATCGAAGCCACCAGAATACCATCAAGAAGGATATCTAGAGATGAGCTGGAGTATTGCACAGATACTGCGTCCTTAAAAATGCTACCCAGAGAGAGATTTGAAACCCTTATCGATACCTCATCCTCTACAGAGAAGCAAGAGTTTGGTTTAGGGTTGTCAACAGGTAAAAGGATACTAAGAGATGAACTTGATGTGTCTGCTGGTTCTCTCAGAAGAAGAATACCAAGAATGCAAAGAGATGATATTGACATAGTTGATGTACAAATTGATATACCTAAACAATCAATACTGAGGGAGGAGTTGGGAGCATCTGGATCAAGTTCATCTCCTGGTAGAATTGGACAGCCGGACCTTATGGCAGCCTCCCAGGCAACATGGAAGTCGTCATCAGAAGTTTTGACTGGCCCTTTGAGCCAGCTTGTGTATGATGGAATCCTTGAGAAGTCCTGCCACTCCGTGGCTAAAAGCCCGACCAGCCTCTCTGCTTCAACAGATGTGGAGCCACCACTGTCTCCACCAACGATTGCTTTCCCATCTCCTTCATTGCACTCTGAGACTGGAGTTGAGAAGAACAAGCATAGGGAAAAGAGCAAGAAATCTATGAGGTTAAAAAATCTTTTTAAAAAGAAAGAGTCAACAACAGAGAAGCCTCAAAGTGGTCTTCAAAAACTCTAATAATCAGTGTTTTTATTTTTTTATTGAATTTGAAAATGAGTTTCATAATCTCATTGATAATATCTGGCACGGAGAGCTGAGGTTGTTTTATTTTATTTATTATAAGTCTTAGGTATAAATATGGTTGATATGGATGAAGATTTTGATGCTTGCCTATGTCTGAAGGATTAAATTAAGTTGATGATGTCTTCTGTATAACAGACACAATGCTTACACTTAATATAAACCTCCTATGAAAACATTTACTGCAGGAGAGAAACTTTTTAATTTAGTGATTTTATAATCTCAGATTTTTCATCCTGATCTAGGTTTGATGCGTTTAATGAGTATTGAGAATAGAGTTCTTTTCACAGTGCACTGATTACAATATTGTAATTCAGTGAATGTAATGACCCAGGTAAAACAGTTTCTGTATTTGTCCATTTCTTTCTGTTTTTCTCGCAATTTTGAAATGGGCCATATATAATTTTTCTAGGATATGAATTTATAACGTTAGAATCATAATCTGATTACAGTTGTGGGGTTCTTTGATTATGAAATGACATAACCACACCCTTACAGCAGAGTTGAGTTATTTTGGTTTAGACCCGGTAAATAAAACTATGTAAGGATGTTTTTCTGACTTTATATTGTATTGTTTCTTATTTAGTCTTGACTATATATTGTTTCTCAGGATTTAGTTGGGATTTAAAACCACGTTTTCAGGGGGCTTAGATATGTTTAAAAGCTGAAAAGGTCTGCACTACAAACATATGGCCTGCAGCCAATTAATACGAATGATGTAACAAATAAGAAAGCAATACTTTAAATGCTTTCTTGTAATATTTTGTAAGGATAGATCATGTTTTTGTTTTTTCATTGAAAAAGGTTTGGATACTTTAAGTGTGGTCAGCCTTCAGATTGTTGCTAAAATAGGTACAAAATATGTATTTTTATCACATTGTTTCCTGTTTTTATTTATTTTGTAAGCTTGGAAATGGGTAAACCAACCTTAACATTGCCTATATCGACCCATTTAAAAAAGAATCTGTCCTCATTCTGTTCCTATGGATCGGCCTTGGACATCCCACACATTTTGAAAATGTTGTCCTTTGATTTGCCAGATGCTTATGAATATTTTGCTTGCTAGCTGTTTTTTGGGTGCATTTTAATGCACATTTTGAATGTTCAAATAGTTTATTTGATTTGCTTTTATATTTTTGTCAAGCATACAGGCAGAACCTTAAGTCTATTTTTATTCATAGTATTCATGACATTTTGTGTGTGTGTTTGTTTAGAAATATCTGAATACAATGTTTTCGATTGTCTTTTATATGGACAAGCACTTTATTGGAATATGAATGTAAGATTACAAAGGGCTGTCTTTGATATACTAACAAGTAATGAGAGTAAAGTTAGAATCTTAACATTGCCAGCATGGTTAAACATTTGTGAGAGCAATATGACATAATAAATTGCAGTTTAAGAATGAACATAAATGTCATTTATTATGCAAAATCCACGTTTTCATGTCTTTTATACATAAACATGTGTCCCCTCTGTGTAAAGATATTCTGAAAGTTTCAGCAAAAAAGATTAGCTCANTTTTTGTCCTGATCCATTTCTATAAAAACCTGTCTGAAAATGAGCTGATCAGATTTTGGCCACTTTATGATGTCATAATGTTTTTTTGGCTTGTGTAACCATTAGCCAATAATCAACCAAGGTAACCCACGCCCACCTTATCACCTGAATCTCCTCTTAGAGCACCATTGTGTTCTTTTTAACCAAATATCTCTCAGAGGGGCGTGGGGAGTGGCTCCTTATTTTCATCTAAAGTAAAANGTGTGCCTTGGCAGTCTCATTGTGTTCTTTTTAACCAAATATCTCTCAGAGGGGCGTGGGGAGTGGCTCCTTATTTTCATCTAAAGTAAAACGCAGAGAATCAGCACTTTTGAAACAGGGCTGAAACAGAGGGGATTATGGGATGCTACAATGATCTGTTTGGTATTTCAAGCCAAACACTTTAGAGACATGTTTTGTATATCTGAGACCTATAATATATTGATGAAAAACAGTATAGGGAACCTTTAAATAGAATATTGATTGTTTTATGGATACATGTATACATATAGCCTATACACCTTAATTCCGGAATGCATAAAATAGCTATTGGAAATATAACGCTTAGGTAGCCAGAACAGAACAACTGAAAATGTAGGTTTGAGCCTTTGAGAACTCATGTTTATGGACTTTAGTAGGAAGATTACAAGAAATAATCAAGTTTGAACTGTTGGGTATAGTGCAGGGCAAACCTCTTATGGTGGGCTTTATTTGTATGTGTTTTACTTATCTCCACAAGAGGTCAGGAGGAGATTAGCATGCAATTTGACAAACAGTAAACACAGTGAGGGTGTGCACCAACACCTGATGAAGGTGAAGGTGAGGGTGTGCACCAACACCTTCATCAGACCACTAGCCTGCAGCTTCAGTCTGTCTGCATGTTGAGCTCTGCATGCGTATGAGAGGCTGTTGTCACTGTGGGTTTCCTGTAAGCCTTTACTGATCACTTGAGCTACATACTGTGGTTTGTGCTCAAATTCATTGTGCACTGTGTTTGTCTTGTTATTTCATTTCATATGTTATAAAAGCATACATAGATAATGAACAACAATATGTAAGTAATAAAACAAATGCATTTGTTTAAACAATGGGTTATGCCTCTAACTGGTGTGGACAATCAAGTTATTATAAATCCCAATGGTGAGTTATTGGATGCCTGCTGTCAGGTTTGATCAGCAAAGAGGCAATCACCCACATCATTCATCCCAGCGTTGGCTACAAGAGAAAATGTCTATTAAAGTGAGGCACAGTAACATTTTCTCATGACATGATTTATGATGTAAGAAACATATGCTTTTCACCACAGAGCGGTTTCAAAAGGGAATATCTGGCAACAAGTTGATCAAGGCGGATTTGTTCATCAGTAAATGCATCTATACAATTGCCTTGTGAGTGATTGTTAGCTAAAAGATACAATGCATTCCATCCCATTTTATTTTTGAACATGTTCCCAAATTAATTCCATTAAAATAATTGGTTACCACATTAAACATTTATAAAAAAATGCATATTATATTATATGAATTCCTATATTATGCTACTCTTTATGACTGTTAGATTATACTGCATAAGAAGATTTAGTCATTTCAGTAAATGAATGAAAATCAACAGTCAAAGAGTAAAATAATAATAGAATAACAAAAAAAACTAACGTTGAGGTGGAAATAGAGAGAGTGGAGAATGGAAAGCTCCAAATTGCCCTGAAAAAGCAGAACATATCTCACAGACTGAGCGCCGCCGCTTCGAGCTGGATGAAACCATCCTCCAGGAGGAGTCCAGCTTCCCTTCTCACTCAGCTGGAGAAACAAAGCTCAAGTCTGCTGTGAAAAAGACTCAGCAGGAGCTTAAGTACCAAAATCTCAGCGGCACAAGGAGAAAACATCCATCACCCCACAGCTGAAGGTATCCCATGACACCCATCTTTCCGAGCTGCAGAAATAAGTGTCAACAAACAAAACCCTCATGGCAGCGCTTCTGGAACCAGCCAAGGAGCAGCTTGAAAATGATCGTCTCCTATGGCAGGAGGAAAAAGCCTCCGTGCTGACAGAGGCCCAGGAAACAAAGATCGGTAACACTTTATGGTAAGGGTACATGCATCATCATGAATTCATGCATGACTTTAATGCATGAAAAAGCATGAATTCATTCATGTAGTACTTCATGAACTATCAGTAATGTACAAGGATTAGTAGTATCTCATGCATGACTTAATGCAGGAACAATACCTTCATTAATGCATCAACTAAGGTATCTCAATCATCATGACTTCTGAGTTATTAACGATGTTCATGTCTTCTTCATATAGATCTGCAGTTAAAGAGACAGGCCAACAAACTGACAGCAATTCCAAGTGTTGTAATGATGAGTAACTAAGCATCATTTTGTCATTACTTCATGTTTGTGCCCCTTGAAAATAAAGTGGTGACCCGGTCTGTCGGTCACAGCAGTGCATGTATTCTGTTGAATTCAAAGTGTTGTAATCATGATTAACTACAAATCAATAATTTGGCACCTTAGGGGAAACCGAAGAGAGAAACTTTTGAAAGAACATCTCGCAGTTCTAGAATGGACGGCTAGGAAACAGACACAAGAAAGGATCTCTCGGTCGTTGACTGAAGGACATTCGGGTCATGTTTCTCTGATTGAACCACCAAGAGCTCACTGACTTCAGATATGAAGAAGATGGACGTTTCAAGATAGCCCCTGTTCGTGCCTCACATCTATTATCATTACATATGAGTCAGGAGGTTTTTTCTGAAAGAGAAATCCCTGATGATCTATACACAAGTCATTTCAGTGCATTTGATCTGTTGTGGTCGAGTTCAAATCACAAATAATTCAACAATATAAACATGGTATGATTTACTATTAACTTACTATTGCCATGTATCTTGTGTCTTTGCCCAAAAACCTTATTGCTTTCTTATGTGACATGTGTGAAAATGTGATCTTGTTGGCTTTAGATTATAAATTAAAGTGTGTTAATATTATGAATGAGTTATCTGAAATGGTTTGTGAGCTTTAAGGTAATACTCTATGATACATAAAAAAAACTCCTAACTAAATAATAGATAATTGAAATTAAGTC